GTAAGTCCAAACCCTGCAGAGAAGCACTACTAATATTATTAAAATAATACAAATAGTTACTTCACTACAATATAAAAAATAGCATAGAGGAGTTCAGGACTTAAAGTAAAGTCTCGCTTGATGCAAGAAGGACTGTCTATTTGAGATGGTGTGAAATGTCACATCACATTAGTCCTTTGTTATTGGAGGTGCTTTCAAATCTATAACTTAATAGGCCAATAACTAATTTTATTTTGTTGAGTCGATCCATAGTTCTTCGTTTTATGAAGCCTATGAAGAACGCGTCCCCCGAGCGCCCTACCGAAACCGAACTGAGCAAAAAAATAAGCACGCGAGAACAGGCGAGCCGAGCCGCATTCCTTGACTGGGTCGACGGCACGGCCGGCCCCTCACACTCCGCTTCCTTTCCTCAGTTGTTCGCGCGCGTCGTTTGTGATAGCTCGTCTGAATGTTATCCGCTGTTTTTACCGCGTATTATGTTTACAAAAGTGTTGTTATTGTTTTTGTTAATGTAGAATTATACATTTAAAGTGTTTTGTGTTGGGTGACAGTGCGAAATATTGTAGTATAGATCTGTGAAGTTTATTATTACATTGTGGATCGCGAAGAGCAGACGAGTACGGCAGGCACCGAGCTCAGGTAGCGTTTCATATTTGTTTTCGATCTGATTACAGCCCAATCTGTCTTCTAATCCAATTTTACGTGGTTTTTGGTACAGATTTCAATTACAGGTTATTGTAATAACAGAGCCACGTGACCATATGTATACTCAGTGCACACCACGTGGTGTGAACGGTGGTGTAAACAACTCTGTGCCCTTCTCCACAACGACGCGCGCGGTACGCGGGCCGCGACGTGAGGCGCAGGCGGACGAAACGAAATGTGCGCGATGGCGGGGAGCGAGCGAGTGACGTGACTTGTGTTTGCCGAATATAATATTACGAATGCAGTTTTTTAGTGTTTACAATAACATACATTACAATGCTACAATTACATTTACTTTTCGTAATTTCGGTATTTAAAATGTTAGCCGCCAAAGCAGAAATTTATCGGCGCATCGCTCACTTCGAGCTCTAAATTCACTTCAAATACGGAATAAGGAATTCGATGATCCGAATAAGAAACTTTTCCGCTTTATTGCGTATGTCTTTACTATAAAAAATTAATTTACAGCATGCAATTTTATTTAAAGTCATCTTCTAATCCAAAATAATGACGCTTACCTTATTAAAACCGAGTAATTTAGAAGCAGACATAAGAAAACAAAATGTACTTCTGATTCAAAGACACTGCTCCAGTCTGTTAACAGTGGTAACTAGTCAGGATTGTGACCGAAAATGCAGACTGTGGCGTTGTCCGCGTGATGGACGGCATTTGGGAAATTTTCCGCATTCGCGTTAGAAATGTAGCAGCGCATTGGAATTATCGGAGTACATTAAAAAAAGTTCTTAATTTTATTTCATGATTTTAAATACTACATATAGCTAATTGTCAAAATCATATATTAAAAATGAGTTCTTAAGTGCCGTCACCGTAGCGATTTATAGGTTAACAATCTAACTTTGAATCTTTTAGGTACTTATTGTTTGTAACTATAATATTGAGCACATTATTTAGAGTTAAGAAGACACAATCAGAAATTTTGTTCTTAAAGATTTCTTGCCTACGTTTTCTTAATACAGCGCAAAACTATTTTACTTTTATATGAGTATGAGTTTCAATCTATCAATCCAATAAACATTTTTAAAAGTAACAAAAACACGCAATAGTAAACCGCACTAAAAGGCAGAAAAATAAATAAAGAGAGCGTAGGATGCTTGAAAGTTACAAACAGTTCATTGGTAGCTATTTATAAATGTAGTCATTATAAAAATGTAGTAAAAAACACCCCACGCTTTTTTCCATTAAAATATTAAAACGAAACACTACAAAAAAGTATCCGTGTATAATACATATAATATATGTTAGGTAGGTACGACGCGCAGGTAAAAAATGAAAATCGATTTTGGCGCCATTTGGATTATATTATAAATAATTAGAAACTTATTTAGAAAGAAATTGTAGCCGTTATGAATCTTCGACTAATTAAGGGCAAAAGTTATTGCATCATCAGTCAATGAATACATATCTAAAAACAACTTTGTCAATTTAGTTTTAATATGTTTCTGTGTTCAATAAATTTTGTTTTCAAAGAACACCTTTTTTCAAAAAAATAAAATGAAGTAACATGTAGAATAGTGGCACCAATCTCCGAAAAGTAGGGAAAGAAAACACATCTACCCATAGAGGTAGGAGGTTTGTTTTGACGTACATTATGCTGTTTCAAAACTGTTTTAAACAATGCTATCTGTGACCCAGGGCCACAGGAAGCTGGCGTTGTTTCATTGCCCAGGCTGCATCACAAGAAGGTTCAGAGGCAGACACCTCTTTGGGATTGTTATCTTCAAGGAGGTTTTAACCTTAATAGTGCAATTACTATCTTACATTTTAGTATTGTATAATATACTATCTACGAGTATACTCTGCCATGTTTCGCTGGTTGCATGGATGTGAAATGAGGAACAGAATTGACTCGAAAAAATCTTTGTAGCTGGTTGTGTATCGTGTCAAAATTTGAGCTTAATCGGTGCAGAACTTTTTAATATTTGAAGCGTACACAAACCAACTTAATACTTTTTTATTAATCCTATAGATAGGTATTTTAGTATTATACTAGTCTTTTCATAACATTTCCAGTAATTAATTTAAAAAACTTGTACTAGAGGCACCTACTAATATTAAAGTAAAAAATATGTAAAAAATAAATTTAATTTAAATTCCAGTAAGAAACTCAGTTTACGTACTTTAATACGCAAGTATAACCATAAGTAAGGTGCTTTAGTAGTTAAATAGATGTTTATTAATTGTGTTAGTATATGCATACCTAATCTCCATTCGTATTATCAACCATCGATTAAAATCATGTTTGTTTCTTGTAATTTATTTGGTAACATATTTAACAAAAATAGAAAAGATTTCTTTAATTTTTGTAAATGCTAATAAAACCTACTTTGTTTGTCCGATACGGTTTATCATCTTAAAGACTAATCCGATTATCATGAAATTTTGCAATTTTACATAAATGTTTCCACGTTCATGTCATCGAGGGGAAAAATTGCATAAGTTACTTAACAGAGCTGGCATGAAAATAGATTTCACATGTTCACACATGGGCATTACAATTTTATTTTATACTTTTATCCGCTTATTATTAATTTTAAACAAGTAATGCATGTATATGTATTACTATGTATAAATTAATTTTACGCAATTTTTATTTAGATAAGCTTTTGCTTTTTAAGTTTACCAATAGGTAAGATAAAAAATTACATGTTTTTCCAGGAAAAACAGTCAATTTTAAAAACTTATATTTAAATACAGTAATAAAAATATTTAGAGAAAAATAAATCTTTTAATCACGTGACGTCCTGGTCAACGTAACCTGAATCTCCTAAATTTTGAGCCTTATAGGTTGAAATTATCTACATTCCTATAGCCTTACGTCAACTATTTATCACCTTTTACAAAATCGGCAATACAGCTTTTCCTCTTGCAGGGAGGTTAATTATTGAGGAGTTCTCTTGATACATCATCATATGCATTATGACTAGCATAAATTGCTTAGCAACCATATTATCGAATTACAGTTGTTTGTTCTTCACCATTTCATCAAAAAGTCCATTTCAACAGAACACACATAAAGTACCATAAAATACCCAATTCTCTAAAGGTACTTTAAATTTTTGAAGAGACCGGACAATTTTATTTTTAACGCATCCTCAGGCCATTTCGTAAAGCAACTAGACTAAATAGGAACCGTATTTTTTTTATCTCGCGAAAAATAGAAAATCAGGATAAATTATAAAATACTGCCTGCTTTTTGTGAATTCATATAAAATCATGAGTAAATAATTAATGCTTTAGTATGAGATTTATAATACACATAGTATGTTAAGAAAGTGTTATCGGTAAGCGAGTTTGCAAGAAATGTACTTACCTAGGTATTATACCTTGAAGTCTTATCAATAGAATAAATTGGCAAACGTATTCAAAGTAAGTTGGGCCTTGAATTAACTTGTTAATGCGATCAGATGCAGTTTGCGTTAAAATTTATTAAAACTGATATAATGTTGTGTAAATGCTGTGAATGTAAACAAAAAATATTAATTTCCACAGCAATTTACCGTTTCTTCATTGCCGCGGTAGTCATGATTATAGCTTTATAGCATATAGCTTCATTCTTATTCAATATTTAATTAAACCATTAATCGTTAAATCATCTTTTAGAACAGTAAACGAAGCACGTATTTGTGACCAGACGTTTTATCTGTTCGTGGAAATCTAATGCAATAATGAACGATTAATACACTATCGCATTATGGGGCTCGTTATCTTTTAGAAATGCCATGGCGTTGTATTTTTACACGAATAAATATCCCGTGCATAATGTACGTTTGCCATTAAAAGCTAATCTAATATAGGCACGGTCACGTTGACAATCTTACTGACGCAAAGTGGGATGATTATACTATAAAAACAATGTATAATACTATGTAAAACTTAAAGATTTTGTAGCTAATACTAATGATTAATACATATTTATATTTTTAACAATAAGATTGTGTGTAATTTAATAACTACCAAAAGCGAAGTTAAGGGCAAAAATTGTATACAAATATCATATTATAAAAATAATACACACATAATTACAATGTACCATTTGGTGTGATATTTATTTAGTCGTAACAGATCTTTACCAATAGCATCTCACATTTGTTGGAACCACCGTAAGTGCGTTTTTGCTTATGTTCGTATCCAGCGCCTCAATGGGATGGATGGGGTGGGGTGCAATGTTTTGGATACTGAACCAAGCACGCGCCGCCGCACTGGTCGCGGTCTGATCGATCGTGCTGCGCTGCGCTGTTCTATCTATTATTTATTACCCAAAATATGGCGGCGTGATGCGGCACGAGGTCGTTGAACTCACTGGCCGCCACGACACTCCGCGTAAACAACAAATGCAGCGCGGGAAACCAAACCATCCCCTGCCCTGGTCGTTAAGTTGCCCGCGTGTAGTTTTCTCCCACTTCGTGTTTATGATCGTTTCTTTTCGTGTTGAGCTCTTTTTAAATATTATATCAAAAGTGCAACTAAGTATTTTTCAGTGGTAGACAAACTGAAAAGTAACCTAAGACTGTTTGATTACAATTTTTTTAACTTATGAATAAAATAGAGGAGGGTTGTCTACGATTTTAGAAAGTGCATACTATGAAAAAAATAAAGAAAATTCAAGTTCATCTTCTTTGCATTTAATCAAAAAGAAGACATGTCATTAAGAATTTAGAAATGGTGAACGGGACCAGTAACCCACTTCTCTTTGCAATATATTTGAAATCGGAGACAGTGTGATTTCAGACGCTGCCACTGCGACAAGTACCATTTTTTATGCTCTCATATTTTCTTGATTTCTTCAAAGTTTAGGCGTACAATATAAAGTAATTTTTATTTTAATGTGTGTGAAACCTGTGTAAAGTGACAAAGATAGGAGAGCTTTGGAAATCACCGACATCAAACGGATCTATCCCAACTGATCCATGGCGTTCATATGGCGTTCGCAAAGTTTAAGTAATTTCTTCATCAACTGATAAGGGACATACTATACATACCAATCGCTCGTCTTAATCTGTGTAGCTACAAACTAAAAACGATTGAATATGACGGTTTTTTAATCTTTTGAGATGATATAATCGAATTGTTAATGGGTGCTTGACACCCATTGGTTTATTGGTTTATAGGGAACTCGATACTATTAGTAATTAGTGTTTTCATATCGAATTGATCCAACACTCGGACCTTAGACTCACTAAAAACATACATCTATCTCCAAAACCCCAATGCCATCGCAATAAGTTCATTTTGATTTGCAATATTTGCTAAATTTAACTTAAAAAAAAAAACCCCGTAATATTTTTTAGTATTTTGAATAATATTCACTTTCTTGCATTCCTGCCAAACCCGTTTTGCCTTGGTAATACAATTTTATTGTTATCTAACTTGATTAGGCTCGAAAACCGTCAGGCGGGCGCCGACACCGCGACGCGCCAACCGGCATGAGGATGACATAGCCTTTTAGCACACAAAAATTTATTTTGGTGTTGTGGTATTTTTAATACTGCACGATTATTTCACATAACTGTCGTAGATTAGATACCTATCGTCGTTGATAGTCCAATTCTGCGTATTAGCATTTTCAAATACCGCGAAAGTACATATGACATATTTTATAGTAGGAGGAAAAAAAACTAACTAAACAGAAATAATCTTAAAATTAATAAAATTACGAAAAAAAAGATTACGAAATTACGAAAGAAAATAGAGAGAGAAAAGATCTTCAAAAAAAAATTACGGATTTTTTTTTTCTTTAAAATTAGTATAATAATTAAAGGGATTAATAGTTTTTAGATATGATTTACATGATGGGACAAATAACCTGCCTGAATACCGGATATCAAACCCGTGTTGGGCAGATTAGTTGTTCATCGTTGAGGACCACGCTTGACAATTAATTAATTGTTCACACACGTTACACATACTACTAATCACGCTTGTTATTAATTACTATTAAGTAATAGTTTAAAAGCAATTAAAATGTAACCTGTCTAACACCGCGATTTACATACATTTAATAGACTTCTAGTTATCAGTTCAGTCAGTATCTGGGATGGATGGGCACGACGAATCTTTTAAGAAGTTACTAAATAAAGACAAATGTTCGGTTTAAACTTGAGTTTAAGCAGATTGCACACAAAATCAACTTTGGTTCTATAAATAGACACACACATTTTCAGGCTTTATTTCACATAACTGTCGTAGATTAGATACCTATCGTCGTTGATAGTCCAATTCTGCGTATTAGCATTTTCAAATACCGCGAAAGTACATATGACATATTTTATAGTAGGAGGAAAAAAACTAACTAAACAGAAATAATCTTAAAATTAATAAAATTACGAAAAAAAAGATTACGAAATTACGAAAGAAAATAGAGAGAGAAAAGATCTTCAAAAAAAAATTACGGATTTTTTTTTCTTTAAAATTAGTATAATAATTAAAGGGATTAATAGTTTTTAGATATGATTTACATGATGGGACAAATAACCTGCCTGAATACCGGATATCAAACCCGTGTTGGGCAGATTAGTTGTTCATCGTTGAGGACCACGCTTGACAATTAATTAATTGTTCACACACGTTACACATACTACTAATCACGCTTGTTATTAATTACTATTAAGTAATAGTTTAAAAGCAATTAAAATGTAACCTGTCTAACACCGCGATTTACATACATTTAATAGACTTCTAGTTATCAGTTCAGTCAGTATCTGGGATGGATGGGAACGACGAATCTTTTAAGAAGTTACTAAATAAAGACAAATGTTCGGTTTAAACTTGAGTTTAAGCAGATTGCACACAAAATCAACTTTGGTTCTATAAATAGACACACACATTTTCAGGCTCGATTTAATTAAAGTAGGTATAAAATAATTAAGTGACTTGCATGGTTTCGATAGATAAAGTCCAAATCTGCCGATTCGTTTCATACAATAATTGTGGTTAGCTAATATTTTTTTTCATAATATCGAGTTTATTTAATTCTTATATCTAACGTGTTTTTAATTATCATTTTCCTGTTACGGGTGTGTCGTGAGAACAACTACGGCTCCCACGCTCATTACCGCGCTTTATACCACTCATTGGCCTGTGCAAGCCGAGACTTTGATCAATGAAAATTATATTCATCAATGAAACTACTATTGTTGTGTACGTATAATAAAGATGTCTTTGGAGTCCAGAGATGTTATCGTGCTCTAGTGTGAGATAATTATTTATTATCGTGTTATAATATGTTTCTAACTCGCTAGTGTAGTTATGTTAATCACAACAAGAATATAGTAAATAAACCGTTCGGTTGAATGTTTGTAATTGATTAATCGATTATGAATTTGAATGAATTGAATCAAAATAAAATTGTAAACGTTGTTAAGCTTAAGAATTACTTAATTCAATTTTGTTACTTAATATGGTTATTATAATTAGATTACTTTAACGCATTATCTTAGTTTTTGCTGTCATTCTAATAAGGAAATTTATTACATATTATGTTGATAATAATAAATGCAGGTGTGCAATCAATGTATCGTCATTAATGGCCGGTTCTGTCAGGATCTTTGAAGAGGAAATAAATAAATAAAATATAACTTACCACAATGTTCTTACTTTGATATTGTGAACATATAAACTTGACTGCATTTCATTGAGTTTATGCATTTAAATTGTGCAAATTTGTGATCATAGACTTTTTAAAGGTCTACGAGTAAAGCTAGTCTAAAGGTCAGTGCGATCGTATGAAAAGTCTGCTTTACATAAAACAATATGTATCGTAAACCTTTGCTAGGTCGCCGAAGATAATTATGTAGAAAATTGTTGTAAAAATAAAATATCTAAGTTATAAGTACCTATTTATTGTTACAGCTCGGGTCATGTGGTCAGCGGGCCAGGGTCGTGGCACGGCATGATGCGACGCGCGTCTGACGTGCTTGCTTGGCCGGTGGTGGCTTGTCTACTGCTACTGGCATATGCACCTATAGAAGCTGCTCCCAACGAGCAGCTAGCTCCGGGAAGTGAGTACTTATCTCTGATTATATAAAAACAGAAAAAACTTCATGCACCTGTAAAAAATAGGACTTAATAGAGAAGTCGTAGACCTAAAACGGTAGGTGCAAATGAGAATTGGTCTCTTTCTGTGAAGTTGTAATGCCGCAGGGCGCCAGATGGTGGGGGCCTTTAGTGGCAGATCGACTGCTGTGGTAGGGGATAGGACGGCGGCCTGATTGCATTAAGACGCAATTGGGTGGCCACGCCGCTATTGAGGGGGGGTAGTGTTTTTCTCTGTAAAGGACCTGAAATGAAATGGTCCGGGTCCTTCCAGAGTAGGGCCGCACCTGCACCTGAGGCCGGCCGTCGGGGTAGTTTTTAGTGCAATCATCACAAACTCTTGGCTCCTGAGTCCCCGAGGAGCAGAAGATCTGAAGGGTTATTCCACCCTGTCAACAAATAAAAGGGGCAAATGAGAAAAGAAGAGAAATAGAGAATTGACATTAAAGCGACATTATGACACGGGTAATATTCTTCTTCTTCTCAGCGGAAATGGGTTTTACATGCCTTTGAATTGGTTGTGTCCTAGAGTAGGTTGTATTGGCCATGGCCACAGGGTGACATTATAAAAATTATTTCACCAATGGAACGCGAGTAACATAGGCTACTTTTAACCACGAGAACCGACATAGAAGCGGGCGGAGCCAGGGCAAAAGTTAGTATAATATTATGATATTTATAATTACTTAAATTAAAAGCGAAAGTTTAATTTAAAAGGATTGTAATAGTAGTTATTCCATTCATAAATGACATGTACAAATGCCCTGGTATACACCTTGTTATACATATAAAAGGTTTAGTGTGAGTCATGAATGTGTAAATATATATTTTTAGTATTTATATTTTTATTTATTTTAGTATTTTTAGTATTTAGTATTTTTTAAATAATTTTGAACCCACATCTGACATAGTTTCTTTCTCGCATAGTGACCTTTCGGATATTAAACAACTAATTAAAGCTATAGAATGTTCCTCGCAGCAAATGCCGATTGATCCCCAGAGAGTACTTGACAGAATTTCCGACTACTTCCTCATTCTCCGTGTCTCCTCTATAGTTGTCATCGATTTTGTTGCTCAAAACCAGCAATAAGATAGCAGGAGACTTAAAAAAAAGTGATAAACTGAAATCTGCATTTTTCTTTCGCTAATGCTGGACTTTGTCATGTAGCACTATCTCGATAGTACGTACATATATGTATGCCCTTGCTATGTTACATAAGAAATAATTTTACCTAAACTTTTCAAAGTTTTCATTAGCTGTAATGTTGTGTACATTACAGTTAATGAAAACTTTCAACTGTAAGTTATTGTAATATTTTTAGCCTATAATAATATTATTATAATCTCTCTCGCGTTTGCAGACGTGACTAACGATGATTATTAATTCTTGATTATTTTCATGGAAATAAAGCAGTTTGTTCAGCTTTCGCGACTCAGAGGCGGTCTTTGGGAGTGGCGAGCTTGGGCAACCGCCTGGGGCCTCGCTTACATAACAACCCAATTAAAAAAATATGTGAAGTGCTTCCCTGCAGTTAAATGGCAGAGATTGAATGCGTTGGCGATGTCCTCTTCGCATCATCATCCTGGTTCTCCCCGTCTCGTCTAGATCGCAAATCTGCGTAATCGCATCATGAAAGCGACCAACCCCCATGTCGTCCCTTTCTGTCGGGGCCTGCGCAGTCCGCCAAGAGTGAATAATATCTGCCTCCTGCAATAAGTCCCTATTTAGCTTGACAACAGTACACCGCGGAAAGCGGGAAGCGCCACGTGACCCCCCTACCGTGTTCTTGGGTCCGGGAGAGCTCAATAACGATAATCCGAAAGCGTCCCAACCTCTTCCAGGACATGCCAGTTCATTACCCGTGCGGCGAGGGCAAAAGTAGGTAACAAAAGGTCCACTATCGATCCCCCCCTGCTGTCACAAGCACGTATAGGTGGAGCCTCTGTTCAAAAGACAGAGGCCCACCGAGGCCGACCGTCTTGAGACACATGCTGCCGCCTCGCAATTATCTACCTGTCCCGGGCCTCGCAATGATCTATCTGCCCGGGGCCTGGCAATGGCTAAGGTCGCCACTGTTTCACGTAGACACAAAATGAGTACAATCAATCTGCCTATTGCAGTCCACCTGCTGAAAAAGGTCTATTAAGGTGCGTCACAAGATCGTTAAAATTTGGAGATCAAGTAGTTACCTAAACTCTTCAACAATTTAAGGTAGGCTCACAGTGGGCGAAAATTGAAAAGGTTTGTAGGAGTGCTTTATTTACACAAGTTATTGTTAATCAGAGGAATATTTATTAGCACATTTGGCTGGGCACTGTGTATTTTATTAAATCGTGAAGACAGTAGAAGTGGTGAGGGCAAGCTATGCTAATGTATTTAATTTTGCAATTGAACATTAATCATGTTAAAATTATTTAGAACATAATCCAATTTTTTCTCTTAAACTATAAAAAAACCCTGTTAGTCGTTTTCGTCTCAAACGATGCACTGACAGTAATTATAATTAACTAAAATGGTGGTATAGCGTCGTCTGACTAATACAAAAACTTTGGTAAAGAATTTTCAGCCGAGTTCGGCACTTAAAGTCGTTAAATGTCTTTAAATAAAATTCTAGTGTTATCCTGGCAAATAATATGGCACCTGGGATCGTTTTTATGCTTATTTGGAAGAAGAAATTAAGAATTTATTTATATATTTATTTTTGTAACTATGAAAAATGCATGCAAATGATGAATGCATAACTAACAAAATATGAGAGTATTATGAAATGTATAATTTAACATGTATTTTGTATATTTTTGCTTTACCTATATCATATTGATTCACTACTGGGTACAAGCCTCATCGTTAATTCTCATTTTTATTAATATGCCACATCCAGTACGATTTCGATCGGACCATTGACTGGCTTAGACCTGGGCTTCAATTCTAATATTGTATCAATAGACCGCAGATGGAATGTCGTCGGAATAGTTTTGCACTTTTCGTATTCTACTATGTAAGACCAATTGCCTCCCGATGACTGTTCACAGATACAAATGTCATCGATGGATTTGTAACAGTTTGGTAAAAGGTAGATTTTAAATTTGTAAGAAAATGATATGTAATTTTCCAGGTATGGCAATGTTGTTGATATCACTATTGATGACCAATATTACTATATCGACAGTCTATTGACACTGTGAATTTATAATAGTAGAATACCGATATTTTGACCGCTGTCAATGGAATGACAGTAGCTTGGCGTTAACATAAAATAGCAGAATTGAGGCCCTGGTCGCACTCCTTGGATACCGCTTACCACCCATTTAATCTGGGTGTACTGCCAACGACGACCACATTAATCCTCGTATGCGTTTACCTACTACGTCTTTACCCTTCGTTTTCATTGATATCAATATTCAGTACTCGCCTAACGGCAGCGATGCCTAACATAGAAACTAGTGAGGAAGATTGACGCTCATAAGAGCTCCTAAGATATACATATTTCAAGTTTACACATTCGACAAAAATATCCTTATATTTATTTATCAAGAAAACTCAACATTTTTTCAGCATAGTATAAATACATTATCATTTATAATAACCACTATCGTGTCGATGATAATATCTAAAAATGTCTGTTACGTCAGTGAATATAAACCTAACTTGTAAACATGTTTTTTTGGATCATTATTATTGTTTGTCGTGGCAATGGTAGCGGTGTTGTACGGCGCGGGTGCGAACCAAGCCGAATATCGTGCCTATCGCTGTTTAATCCGCGAGATAACGACTCGCACGATGTGTTGTTTGTTTGTAATTCTCTGTTCGACGTCCAACGAACTAGTGAGGCCTCGTTTAGGAGGCGCCCTCCGTTATCTTTTCAACCGGACAGAAATTTACTTGCCTGTGTAATATGCGGGGCGATATCGAACTTTAGCGATTTGAATCTTTAATGAGCATTTTTATTTAGCAATTTCTTACTTTTTAAATAGTTTATCTTTATATTTCTACATTATTGGTAACAGAGTATTTCTTATATATGTATATATTTTCAGATTGGCTTATTGATTCAATAATTATAAATTATCTCTAGTAAAATGTTTTTGTGATATTAGGGTTAGTTTATTTTTTGTGTGTGTAATTTGGACTTGATATTTATATTGCCTTTCTCAAAGCACTATGTACTAAATAATGTTCTTTTGAATTAGATGAGGATAATTTTGAGAGACATGCAATGTTTTCGCAATTGTTATCAACCTTAACAATGCGCCAGGTGTTTACATATCCCTCTCCCTCTGTCAGACAGCTGTCCGGTTGAATAACCTCGCCGGATCCTAATTTGAGAAATGCAAAACATTTTCTATGCATCCTTATAAAAATATGAAAACTGCTTAGTGAAGACAAGAATAAATAAACTGAATCTACATTATTCATTTTTATTTATTAAGTGTTGCAAATCTTCTAACTTTCATCTTTCTCAAGTTTCATTTAAAGGCGGTTTTCCTGTACATTTTTAATGTTTTCATGGCTGTCTTTCTCTATATCAGCGTTTGATTAATCGTTTTGGTCTCACAACCATAGCTAGATTGAGTTCTTTCATTTAAGCATCTCTTTATTTTGCCCATTTAGATTGGAGAAGCTAAATGGCAATTAGATGTGTGAGCAGCGCGAGTCCTCCTCGTATTACATTATAAATGCGGAAGTAAGTTTGTAAGTTACGCTTTCGCGTCTTAACACTTAATATACACTATATTACACAAAATATTATAAATGCTTGCTTGACCGGCTTGTTGCTTTAGTGGTGAGTGATAATCACTACTAGATCAAAGGTCGTCGTTTCGATTCCTACCCAGGAATAATAGTTATGTGATAAGCCCGGTCATTTGTTCTATGTCTGGCTGTAATATAACTGTCCGTGTGGTGACGGATTAACAATACGGAGTGTCACCTATTCATCCCTAGGGTGTTGTAAGAGTCGACACT